GCATGGAATTCTGAGTCACTATTCCCTCCCTGAGGCTAGGGATTCCAGGAATAACCATTGGGCAGCAGATCACAGCAAGCTACCTGCAGCTTTTGAATGGGTGGGGATGAAAACATGTGGCTGACAATAGAGAATGTTTCTAGTTGCACTCAGACAGACTTGTTGGTTCTTGCACGGGCAAGCGTTCATCTAGTTAATATCATGCTGTTGTGGTATTGTATCTCCTAAAGTGTTGCAGTGTTTTTCTGCTTTAGAAAGGGTGCCCTCAATAGGAAAGATGTTGGCCCTTACAAAGTCGATTTATGCAATGTGTTTAGGGACGTGGCGAATGAATGTCTTAAGCTGAGCATACATGATTAGAATTTTGTTTGTTCCAAAAACTATGGTTTTTTGGATGTTCGCAGTGGCGTAACCACCACCATAGCAAACCAGGCGGCCGCTATGGGGCACGGGGGGGCCTGGCCAGAACATCCCCCTGATGCTGTGCGGGCCGCCCGGGTCGCTATGGCATCTAAGGCTGCTGGCTGTCACTGGATGGTGTGGAGGAAGAATGTGTCTGTTAGATCACTGACAACCTCAGTGATCTGTGCAGTGGCACGCTCCTCACAGCCGCTCTTGAGTCAGTGACGGCCAGCATCTGCGGAGGAGCAGGCAGGGCCCAGGGTTGGCACTGGAGGAGGCGGGGTCCGGTGACGGAAGAGGAGGCGGGTAAGAGGTGTTCAGGGGTGTTATCAGTCCACCTGAGACCCTACAGAGCCCTCCATAGAGAGTCTATGGAGGGCTCTGCAGGGTCACCCTTGGGTGGGCTGTGTGGGATATTAGGTGGGCTCTGCAACGGGCGTAACTAGAAATCACAGGGCCCTATACAAAATTTTGCCATGGGGCCCTGTGATTCTAGTAATGCCCCTGGATGTTCGTTCAGTTTTCTAATAGTTAATAGGGTCAAATTGACAGTCATTTTCGATTTATAGTGATGAACAAAATTCTAACCCCTATTGGCTTACAATCCAGAATTGTAACTTGATTTTTAAAGTGGTTTCTCTGCTACCGATGGTAAAACAGGCCTCTAATTTATACATGTTTGTGTGTTTTAATGGAAAACTGTCATATCTTCAGTGAAAAATCAATCCGAGGTCCTTTGAAGAAGAAATCAGTTGGCTGCCCAGGTTTGCTGAGATTATATTGCTACTAAATGTAGGGCAGCCTGGTCTGCACTAATCATATTCCTGATTCTGTCTGTATCTTATTTGGTCAGGATATATGTCGGGATATTTCCTATTCTATACCCATGTTTTATGCCTTTTTGAGTATATCAATGCCTCCTGTTATAAGAAAATAACTCGGTATGTATAATGAGCTGTAACTGCTAGTCGGACTGAGCCACGCTTATCCCATACCTGACCCAGTGCTGTTTCTGTTTCCCTTCTAGGTGGGTGACACGGTGAAAGTGACTCGGATGAATATAAATGGCCAATGGGAAGGAGAAGTGAATGGTCGAAAAGGGCTTTTCCCCTTCACGCATGTGAAAATAATTGACCCTCAGAACCCGGATGATAATGAGTGACTTGTGTTCCTCCTCCTCGGCTCCGCTTAATTCACTGTCCTTCTTCCAGATCCTCTGAAGTTTTCTTGGCATATCCTTCAACTCCGATCTTTCAGCCGCCTGGTTATTTGACACTTCTGAAAATAACACACTCCAAAGTTCACCTACTGACGCATGTAACATAGCTGTGTTTGTCCATACTGCAGAGCTACTGCTTACCACGTGTTCCAGGGTCTGAACAAGCTTACTTAGAAATGCTGTGCTGCCAGCTGCTAATCCCGTGTTGCTGTGGAGAACAATGCCTGGTGGAATTCTGATAGGAGTTTTTCCTTCTTGAACAAAATCCAAATCATGCCTAAAGGCTTGTGAGGACGTCGGATCATTTGACTATACACATTGCTACAACATAAGCCAGAGTGGCGCTATAAGCTGTCCCATATGGAGAGGTTCCTTAACGCTTATGGGGACACCTCCAGATTGTGGGAGTAGGTGAATTCGAGGCCTTTATTTATACAGTGAATTGTTCTAGACAGGAACTGAGAACATGCCTACTTCCTCCTTCTAATGCAGAGTTCTGTCACTGTAGTGAAAGATGTCATCTGCTTGTCCTTCTAGTAATGAATGGATTTACAGCTTGATATTCAATGGCGCAGTGTACGATGTCTTTTTTTTCCCCCCTCTTCCTCTTAGTGAGTGCCATTATGGAATTGTCCTGTGAGGTGTTTAGCAAATAGATCTCCTGGAAAAGCTTAGTGAATTTGTCTCTTCTGGACCGTCTTTTATTGAATGATATAAGAAAGGATTCCAGCATGGAGCTCAGCTTCTGTATTGTTGCAGAACGCTAGTAACATGTCAGGACATCTTTTAAACCTCAGACCCAGTCCTAGTAGTTTTTTGTTGTTCTTTACTTTGATCCATTCATTGACGCTCTTTGGTCAGGATGTTTTTTTCCATCTTACAGTGAGCTGTCCTGTTCTACCGCAGCTTCTGAGCACAAAGGGAGGAAACAGATCCTTATACAATGAGCTTAGCTCCTTCTTTCTTATTTGCCCCTTTTTTTCCTGGAACAGTGCAACAAGCATATACAATAAAAAGAGCCCAACTGCTGTTTACGGTCTGTGTTACTCACCCGCAGTAAGGTTTGGTATGCCTATGGCCTTGAAATAGCTGTTCTCACTTCTCACGTTCTGCCATTTGAAACCTATCTTCCTCTCCTCTATCGATTTTTTTTTTTGTTTGGCTGGATCTGGACCCTTTCCAGCCGAAATAATGTGTGAATAGCTGCTTAAGCTATGCCCTGAATTTAAATTTCACTGTCCACTTGGTTGTTTGAGTACGAGAAATGTATGTTGAAAGGGAATTTGTCTCTTGGGACCTTCTGCTAACGGAGGGCAATGTCCCATTTTATTTTTGCAAAGGGAGGAAAAGTACATTTTGTGCCATTTTGTTTTGCTTGTAAAATTGTAATTTTATATTGTATTTACCAGGGGAGGGGGGAATTTTATGTTTTGAGAATCCGTGTAATTAACATTTTTAACTGTTTCAGGCCATTGATTCTCTGCTCCTAAGCCACGCCTTTTTATTTCTGCTCGATGATTGAGAGAGGCAGGGCACATCGACAGAGTACTTTCTCCTACAGAAGGGACGTGTCTCACTAGGTTACACAGAATACACAAGATTTTAGGTGTATGCTTTTTAACCTGACTTGTTTTTGAAGGGGAAATCATAGCTTTCGAGTTTTATTTTATTTTTTTGTGCTGTAAAATTAACAGTATTAAATTACTTATATTCTTAGAATGCTGCGTCTGTTCTTTTGTGTTTTTTGTTGCAGTCCTAATTTGTGTAAGTGGGAAAAAGCTGTATGTAAAACATTGATTAAATGAGAAGTAAAGCCAAATATTTGTAATTTTTTTTTATTGGTTTTACTTCTCCTTTGGGTGACAGGATTGTATTTATTACTGTACTCCTGTGACCAAGAGTCTACACTGTCAGCGGGCGTTAGCTTGCCATCTGCTGAGTCACGCTGCTGCTAGGAAGGACCTGGCCTCCTGATTGACAGCTGGCTCTGCCTGTCTACAGCCAGCTGTACCCGCCCCCTCCTCTCTGTCCCTCCAGTGAGCACTGGAGGAACAGAGGGGAGGAGGGAACCTGTGGAGCGGTCACTGACCGTCTCTGCTCTATGCCGGGGAAAGAGACCGTGAGCTGAGCAGTCAGAGGTTACATGAATACTGAGTTCTCGGTATAGAGTTGGTTTAAAACAGTTGTAGTGCCCCATCCTGGCTCTGAGCAGGAGGGAGAATGTTTTACTCTCCCCACATTTCTTCTTTATGTTACGGTATAATTAAACTCTGGGCCCATGCAAAATAGTGCCATTTCTTCAGTAGGATGCACAATGCCAAAAAACATTTTTCATTCCTGCCTGCCTTGGCTGCAAATGTCTCTTTGGTTGACTGTTCTAGCCTCTGCAGCATCCGCCCCAAACCCTGGCACACCCAGACCAAGACCCTCGGCATCCCGGGGAGTACAGCAGAACCTGGTCACGGGATGTGAAGGTTACTGGGGGCTGATTGATGGGACTTTATTATGATCCTCCTAATAAATAGACTTTGCAACTGGTATAGAATGCCTGTATTCATCTCACCTTTTCAGACATAGTTAGGTTTCAAGGACATATTTTGCTGCCTGGAATTTGACATTTTGTAGTCTAAAGTATACTTTGCACGAACTTTAATTCAAATAAAAGTTAAAAAGAAAAACTACATAAGCTGAAGTTACTGTTGGTGGAAAATCAGCTAAAGGTATATGCACATACTGACCATTGCCTCCTGCCCATCATACTACTGGACTAATAGGGTGGGACTAAGCTAGACTTTTACAGCAAAAGTCAGAGTTACTGATCAATTGATATTTGGCTTTCACTTAGGCTAGTCTATGCTCATACTTTTTTCCTAACCTCAGAATGAATTGATGAGGTCAGTGGTAGGTACACCTTAAAGTGCAACTCCAAGATTTTGCTCTTTTTTTAATTTTCATATTAAAACTTCCTTTACATACACTTTAATACTTTGTCACTGTCCTAGAATAAGTAGGCAGGTCGGTAAAGTCAGAGCTCTGGATCTGCACACTTGCCCTGACACCATTGATATAGCATGACAGCCATGGCTGCATGATTGCTCTGTGTCAGTAACTGACTAAGAATCAAACCTTAGAAGGAGAAAGATGTTCAGGGAACAAATGTCTATAAATAAAAAGTTGGTTCATGAAGCATTTACCTTATTGTACATTTTGTATGCTTTGTGAATGGACAGCTATAAAAAAAAAAAAAGGAACTTCCTGCTTGCGATCTTGAGGTTTGCTTTAAAACATTAAAATTCAGCAAAATGTAGAATGATTACGGCATAATGACAATGCGTGACGTTTGTACTTCCTTAAAAACTTGAGTGAACGTAAGCTGCTGCATAGGGGACAGGGACCAGTGGAAGGTAATACCTGGCTTTGATTTGCAGTTCACATTTCTGTCCCTTGGTTGCCGTGTCTGCAGACAGTAGTTGTGATTCTGGGCCTTGCTAAAGCATTGTAAGTGATTGCCTGTAAAATAGTGTTCCTCTTTCCAGGGAGATCATGGGCATTACCGATTACCCCCAAAAAGGAAGATGATGCCACTGCACGGTGCTGGAACATTTTCATCATTAGGAAATGCAACATCACTTTCAAAGGTGGAAATGGACTTTAACTTACAGTGGGGTGGGCATGAATAAGATTGAAAAAGAAGAAGCTTGGTTTGGTAGTGCAAGATCTTCTTTAATGTTGGGCATACAGTCATTTTTATTTTCAGAGTACAGAGTACATCAGTCACATCAATCCATGAAGAGGCTGCACCTATTTGCAAAGGAGTTGCTTGGAGGCCCAGGCTAAAGTCAGCTGGCATATGTTTACTATACACTGCAATGTCATCCACTTTCAGATAGCTTTGCATCATGAAAATGACCAAACACATGAATGCAACCTCCCACTAACAGTATCCATCAACACCTTACAATCATCTAAAATTGGAGTCAGGCTGCCTTGTGGCGTTTCATTTTGTAATTGGAATAGCCTCCAAATTGCTGTGTGTGTAGTGAGCGTTTGGGCTTACAGGGCATGATTTCCTCCTCTGTATTAGCTGTGGGAAGAACTGAAAAAGCTGTGCCATCATGGGCTTTTGTGGACCAGATCTGAACATCGCGAGCTTAAAGTGACATTAAACCCTCAGATTTTTTAACATACCAATACTGTAATGTGTGCCTTACTGTAATCCATGGTTTTTTCCCTTCTCTTTGCTGCTCTTCCTTTTAAATCCTCATGTCTTCTCATGCTGTAGAGAACTTCCCTTTTCAGCTCAGGGCCTCTTCCTGTAGTGCTGGCTCAGATTACAAGTGTATACACAGACACCGTGTATCCATTCATGAGACAAGGCAGTCTGCAGCAAAACAGAAGTTCTGCCCAGCATGAGAACAGATACAGATTTAAAAGGAAGAGCAGCAAGGAGAAGGGAAACAACCATGGATTACAGCAGGCCTCAAAATTTCCACTCGCCCCCTCGCAATTGGCGAGTGAAAATTGCGGGGGCGCTAGTGGAATGTCAGCAATGGTGCCTCACCGGCGGGACTAGGGATGGGACACTACCGCTGCGGCAACTGCTCGCTTCTGTTTTCTCTTCTCTTTCTTGCCTGCTGCAGCTACAGAGCAGCCGAGCCCAAGAAGGAGAAGAGAGAACAGAAGCGAGCGAGCGATTGCCGTTAGTGTTCCATCCAGAGCCGGAGCTAGCTCTCTGCACTCCCTCTCTTTCGTCCCGGCCGCTTTAGCACCACTCACAGAGGCGGCTCTGATTACACCTGTTATCGCTCCCTCTCTCCTTCTGGCCGGTCTGAAGCTGCCGCGCCCGAGAGCAGAGAGAGGGAACGCTGACAGGTGTGATCGTAGCTGCCTCTCTGAGTGCCCGCTTCCTGGAGCTGGAGCGGTCGGGAGAAGAGGTGATTGTTCAGCAGTGTGATCAGAGCATTCTTAAAGAGGCCCCCCTCCCAGTCCACATCTTTCGGACGTTATTAATCGGAGTTGCCCCACTCAGTATACCCCTCGCTTGCGGCCATATTGAGTGGGGCGCTCATATTAATAACGTGCTGGATTAGTCTGACCCAGGGGTGGACTAGGCCCGGGGGCAGGGTGGCAATTGCTCCCCAAACCTCTCTGATACCTTTGCAAACGTCCCCCGCCACGGCAAGGACTTCATCTCTCCCCTCTTGGCCGCTGCAGCAGCAGAGGGACCGAGAGGGGAGAGATTAAATGCTTATGGCGCCGGTGGGGGGCATTTGCAAAGGTATCAGAGAGGCTTTGGGGGGCAATTGCCACCCTGCCCCCGGGCCCAGTCCGCCCCTGGGTCAGACTACCCTTTTCCCCCTAAAATAAGACCTACCCTGAAAGTAAGACCTATAACTCTTTTTCAAGATTCCTGTAATGTAAAAGACCTACCCCGAAAATAAGACCTAGTTTGGTGGTAGCATGTGAGAGGGAACTTGAAGAGCAGGAGAGATGGTATCAGCCTGCAGGGACATACTGTATTATGGGGATGACAGGGGACACCCTCCGGACAGGGAGCACTCCAGTACCATACTTCACCAACTACTGTCCCCCTAAAGGCACTGCTTAATGTAATGGTACTGTACTTTAATGTGTACCGGTAAGTGGTACAGTACTTTACCACATTGTCCAATGTCTGATGTCCCCACCGCTGGTACCATTGCCCCTGATGGCAAAGGAAGCCAGCGCAGTAGAAAGCAAGGTTGCGGCGGCGGATCGAGCAGAGCAGATACTTCCTCTATAGGGCCGGTTACTGTGACAGGCAAAAAAAAAAACATCCCCTGAAAATAAGACCTAGCGTGTTTTTTTGGGGCAAAAAAAATATAAGACAGTGTCTTATTTTCGGGGAAACACGGTAATCCAGCACATTATTAATCTTAGTGCCCCACTCAATATGACCGCAAGTGAGGGGTATACTGAGTGGGGCAACTCAGATTAATAACGTCTGAAAGATGTGGACTGGGAGGGGGGCCTCTTTAAGACTGCGGTGGCGGGAAAAAGAGAACAAGAAGATCCACTGCCATCGTCTATGCCCTCTTCGATTGGGCTCCTCGGTGCCACAGCAGTTTCCTCCGCCCACCTCAGCTGCCATTGGTGGGAGAGGAAGACTGCAGAACCGCAGTTGGCCAGCTTCTGCTGCGCGGGA